AGTTTCATAGTTTCCGCCATTTACTTTTCTGCAATGAAGTATCTGTCGATCTCTACATGTTTTGTTCTGTCGTGGTACACCGGATTCTTTGCAATGCTTATCGCATATTTGCTATCACTCTGAAATTCAAAGTAGTTGTTATTGCATATCTCTAGTTCAGTTAAAAGTCTTTGTAGCCAAATTACTTCACATATCCCGAGTGCTATCACCCTATATTATGCTTCTGCACTGCTCCTGGAGACTACTGATTGTTCTTGCTTCTCCAGTCACTAGGCTTCCCCACACAAATGAATATCCCGTGGTTGACCTTCTGTCTTTTATTTCTCTAGCCCAGCTTGAATCTGAGAAGATTTTAACTGTTTTTTCTTTATATTTTCTGAAAATTAACCCATGTCCTAGTGTCATCTTTAGATATCTTAAGATTCGATTAACTGCCCAAATGTTCTTATCTAGGATCATTCATGTATTGACTAACAATGCTAACGAGAAAAGCAATGTCAGGTCTAGTTAGAGATAGATAAATGAGTTTACCAACTAGCCTTTGATATTATCCTGTTTACCGGGCTTCCTTCTTTACTCAATTTCAGGTTAACTTCCATATTATCAGAGCAATTTTTACAAACAGAGTGTAATCGGATTGACACTGTTTGTAGTTATCTTGTAATATTACATTCGTGAATCTGTCAAACCAAGCTCGAGGTGATTGTTTAGACCATATAAGGATTTCAGCAATTCACATACCTGGTTATTACCATAATAGATTCCTGGTGTAATTTTCATATAGACCTCTTCTTCAAGATTACCATTGAGGAATGCATTTTTTTACGTCTAGTTGGTGAAGTATCCAATCCTTGTTCAATACCAAGGATAATAGAACTCGAACAGTGTTGAGTTTTGCAACTGGAGCAAAGGTCTCCTGATAGTCAACTCCATGAGTCTGAGTGAACCCTTTTGCCACAAGTCTAGCCTTATATCTCTCAATTTTTCCATCTGCCTTGAATTTCATAGCAAAGACCCATTTACAGCCGATTGATTTCTTCTCTTTAGGTAAATCAACGATGACCCAGGTTTTATTGTTTTCTAGAGCTAAAATTTCTTCTTCATCTGCCTTCTTCCATTCAAGACTTTTTAATGAATCCTCTATGGTCACTGGAATGTGAATATGATCAACCTGAGCTATGAAAGTTTTAAAAACAGGCATTAGTTTACAATAAGCAACAAATTTATTAATAAGATGAGTTGTACATCGTCTAACTCCCTTTCTTTGAGCAATTGGTAACTCACTAGTATCAATCACCACATCCAACTTATTTTGGTCACCATCTTCTTTGTCTGTCGAGGGATATAAGCCCGTTCTGGCTCTTGACAATGCATTGGCTGCAGTGTGGAAGGTAGGGCTTGTTTAGGTCATCTTTTGTAGGTGAGAATATCGGTAGATGGCCTGGGTGTTACATGAGAGTCGATGGGATTAATGGATTGGTTTTCATTATTAGATGTGGTGGTGTTAAGAGGTTGTGGAGTGGTAGTTGTTTCAATAGAAGATGAACTGATGGGTAACTCAGTGATAATCGGTAAAAATTGAAATTCAGACTCACTCTCCCCCTGGATTTTGGTTTTTGAGAAGAACGGTTTATGCTCTTGAAAAGTGGCATCCATAGAAGTAAAGAACCGTTTGTAGAAGAAGAGTAGCAACGATAACCTTTCTGAAGAGAGGAATAACCAACAAAGACACACCGAATTGCTCAAGGATCAAGTTTAGATTTATTAGGATTGTGGTGATGGACAAAGGCGGTACAACCAAAGACACGAAGAGGATCAAAAGAGGTAAAAGGTTTGAAATGAGGGAATTTGGTCGAAAGGATATCCCGGGGACACTTCAAGGCAATAATCTTACTAGGCAGACGATTGATGAGAAAAGTAGCTATTAAAAGAGCCTCACCCCAAAGGTATTTCGGAACATTAGAAGAAAAAGGAGTGATCGGGTTACCTCAAGAAGATGACGCTTTTTGCATTACTCTTGCAAATTTCTTCAGCACTTTCCTGTGGGTCACTGCAACCTAAAACCAAGAGAAGCGAAGAGGTAAAGATGGGAAGATATTGCAGATGAATGATGGGCGCACAAATGACCCTAGTAACAGATTTTCCTTGAAGGTCAAAGATTCATCTCGGAACCTCAAATTTTCTGTAGGAACAAATCCAGCCAAGAAGATATTGATTCCCTCTCTTACAGAAAAGGGAAGGATTACAACTCCGTAAGCACTCGGTTTTCCATATAGCAGCAAATGAAATCTGATAAGTAATCCAGGACACTAAGATCATGCTCGACCACAATCACATAGTCGAAGTACACAGTGGAAAAGCATAATTCCCCCAGTTAGATCCACTCAAACTATAAGCAACATTAGAGGCTCAAAAAGGTGAAGATATAACATATTAGACCTGAGCAGAGATCGAATGACTTGTGCTGCTTTCAGTCTCTGCTTTACATCAAGATAACTAGAAGGTTCATCAAACATATATATCTCTGCATTCTGTATGGCAACAACAACAATAACAAATCTCTGAAGCTCCTATGACCTGGTTGAGTTCAAGATCACACAGAGTTCTTTCATTTCCCTTTCATCTATTTGGTCAAGCACCTACTCTGCTTCTGTATGGCACAACAACAATACAAATCTCTGAAGCTCCTATGACCTGGTTGAGTCAAGATCAACACAGAGTTCTTTCATTTCCCTTTCATCTATTTGGTCAAGCACCTACCCCACATTGCCTGAACTGCCTTTGGATATTATCAACATACTGTGGCTTGATGATGGCCTGTAAAATATATAAGATATATTATCAGAAATATCAGGCAAACAAGGCAATTGCAGGACAATTCTCAAAGCTTCTATTTTCATCAAACACATTAGTGTCCATTGTTCAGTATCTGTAGCTTTATATCACAAGAGAAACAATCGATTTGCAGGTGATCATTCAACTATAACTACCTTAACAGAACCAAACTAGTTCAAATGCATAAGTTCTACCCCAGGGATGCTCAATGGAACAAGATAGAGACTTGTAAAATGCTGGGAGTATGGCAAAAGTAGAAGAAACAAATGGCTCCGATTAAACTATTTTTGAAACTTGCATCGATTATCACACATGATTTATTTCATGGAACAAATATTAAAATCAAAGAAGGTTAGAACTGGTTTTGCCCAACTCATTGAATCTCAGAGCCTAACTTTTTAAGTTTCAGGAAAACTCTGGAACGAACTAGCAAGATGAATAGAGAATGCCTTGACATGGAGCTCTCCTATTCATTAAACTATCATAACCTCCACAACAGAAATGTGTTTATATATATACATAAAAAGGCAGGACTTGAAGATGTAGAATCAAAATTTCATGTAAAGAATCACCTTGAGGTTATCTCCCGAGATGAGAGTAAAATAATTCTGTAATCCTGCCAATCAGGAGGGTTCTGCAAACAGATTGCCCAAATATGTAAAGAATTAGCATACATAAAGAGCAATAAAAAAACCAAGGCCACAGAGAATTACATTGATACGACCAAGTTTGGTTTCAGTTTCCCAGCTAGAACTTTAAGGGCTGTTGATTTCCCAATGCCATTGGTTTCGACCAGACCAAGAACTTGCCCAGGCCTCGGAGCTGCTAACCTAAAATTGCAGTTTAAAACCACCTCAAAACAGAAATGGGAAAGAAAGGGAAAGGAAAGCTACAAAATCTTGCAGGAAAAGCATGAATGAACAAACCTGAGTAATTTGAAAGTATTGGGGCCATATCGATGGGTTGTATCTTTAGCCAAATCTCTAGTTAAGTTGATAATCTGAATTGCTTCAAATGGACATTTCTGCATAAGAAACCAGGCATTCAGCTAAAGTGACATACTGACATGTTCTTATAAGATACACATCACTTGATACGAGAGTAAAATTACAAACCTTGACACAGATACCCACAACCAATGCATAACTCCTCAGAGATGAAAGCAATCTTTGAGGCAGCACTAACCTCAATACATAACTTCCCTGTAGATAGAGTAACAAAAGTGCGATCATTTGCAGAAATATAATAACAAACAAGACAGTGAAATAAAATATTATTGTAAAATAAGTGTTTAAGCATTAATAACATCCAAAAGGCAAAAGATGTAAGTGTTTAAGCATTAACAACATCCAAAAATAAGTGTTACAGCATAACATAAAATTTGTTTTTAAATTGTAGATAGAATATATTATTGTAAAATAAAATATTAAATTTATTAGTAAATAGTAACTTATATGAAATAAAATAAAAAATAATTGATTATATCATGTAATTCAATGGTTTAAAGAATTTATCAAGATTGGTGTAATTCTGAAAATAGATGTCAGTCTCTAATTAATAATGCAATCTTTCAAAATTGATATATCCTAAATAAAGTACAACTCAATGATATATTTTTTTTAAAGAACATCAAAGAGATCAGAGAAAAGAAAGATAAAAAGGCAAAAGATGGTTTGTAAACAAAAAAAAAGGAGGCTTTCTAATATAAGAAAAGTAAAGAAAAAATTGAAAAAAAATTGAAAATGCACTTTTATCGGAGGTTGATATTCTTGAGATGATCAAATTTTACTTTTTTCTTGTTAATTTTCTCAATTATTTTAATCACATCATCTCATGAAAAGCAGGTTATAAGCTCAGCCAGCATGAAACAAGGTTCTTTGGTAGTGATCTACGAATCATTTTCCTTTTATTCGAATTGACCAACAGTTAAATACATCTCAAGGAGTTATTTTTAGAAAATTTATCAGAGGGGTGAACAACACAGCAGCCTTTCACTATTTCAAAGTTCAGATTCCGGACATTTGCTATCCAATCTGAACACTACTGCTAATACTTAAACTAATACAAACTTCAACCCATCTTTAATCTATCAATACATCATTCTTGGTTCTTGAAGACATGCAGGGAACGATAGCAGCTTCGAACGGACTTCACTCTCTTTTCTATTCCCGAGACCGAAGCTCGGCAACATTTTGGTGAAGGGTGTGAAGGAAGGGCTTCACAAAGGCGGATGATCATCCTCAGGTTTTTGAGGTGGAACAGGTTTCCAACCTGGTTTTTCGTCCCAATACATGTCATAGTATATGTGTCCCGGAATGTGGTAGTCTACACAGCACCATATACCTACATACCGCTTGACACGATTCCTGAATTTCTCCTCTCTCGCCTGAGTGTGAATATAACATATCATTCGAAATTTCGAATCTATTAGTAAACATAACTAAGACTATATTAACCAGTAAAGATAAAACAATGGAAGCAGGAGAGCAACAGCTTGATGAAAAGACTTGCCTTGTCAGTGAAACCAAGAAAAGCATCTTGCATAGAAGAGAATTGAATGACTTTAACATCCTTGAACGAAGAGAACACCGTCTCAACTGTAATTTAGAAGTATAATTCAACAAGGTCAACACCAAGCCAACAATGCTAACATCTGACAAACAACTTTTACAACTTAATTCACCAAACTAAACTAGGACTAGTGCTTAACTAATGAAAAGTACACCTCATAATATTCGGCAAACCTAAAGTTTAATCAATAAAGCTCTTACTTGTGTTTCTTCGACTCAATAATTTGTGAGTCAGTTACAGGTATTTGTCCGACATTGGTATGTTCATTCTTTCTCAAGTTTTTTCATGTATTTGGAGAGTCTTTAGTAGGTCATATCCCATACCCTTAGACACAGGTGTTATGGGTACTTCAAGAAGAATGAAGAGTCGGAGAAACATAGGATTTTACCATAAAACAATTCACTAAAAGGATATAATTCAACAAGAACATATGAAAAAGATATTTCATAGCAGAAAATAAAGAATCGGCCATACCATTTCTTCACTACTGTGTTTAGGAAATCTTAAAAGACCCGGTTGACTTGCGTTGCTTGATGCATGGCAATCTTTACTTCCTTCTTTACAGAGCTGAACATCAAGCCACGACTCTTTTACCTGCAACACCTCAGACTAAGGTTTCAAGGAGGAAAACATAGAAATAAACAATTTAGTTTATATCATTGGTATTAATTTACCTGTTGAGGTAATAATGGATTGCTGAAAAGAGAGTATTCTCTTATGTTTACTGCAGGACCAAACTCCTCCACTGGAAGATCTTGCAACATTACATTCACCTACACCAGAGCATACTGTATTCATTAGAATATAAGTTCCCATGTTCAAAATAAAAGCATCTTCTCATGATAGAACTCTGAAGAAGTGGAGCTTAATCGGAAGATTCTCGGACAAAATAAACCACGTCTTTTAGTTGTAGATCTAATTGGTCTTAAGTCAATTAAATATATCCAGACTTTAACCTTTTTTCTAGAGGTGGAAAAAACCCTTCAAATATTGATATTCATTGAGAAAAGTGTGAACCAGCCAGAAGATAACTATATGATTGTAGACTTTAAAATTAAATGAGATGAAAAGGAGTTGATAAGAAGTTGGTAATGTGCATTATGATCATTATGCCCATTTCACACCTCCCAAATCACTCAAAACAGAAAACAAGGATGAGTTCTCAGGACTGTTCTGAACATAGATTCAACTGTTGATTTGCACTGCACAAACAACCCTTACCTACTAGAATAGAAGAAACTTAAAACCTCTATCCGTAACATTCATCTAACAATCCTTACTCATCGTATCATATCTTTAAATGGTGAAAAAAGAAGGTGGCTTGTCCAATGAATGGTAAACATGACATTAATCATTTTAAGCAGTAACCTAAAAGTCCAAGAGAATGCCTACTGCAGTTCTTTCCACAGCTCCCTGCATTTTATATTGTAATTTAAAGTGACATTGGTTATTTTCATGGATTCACAGATAAAAGGAGGATGAAAAAACAGGGACAACATGCAAAGGAATGTTACAGGAGAAACAAGAAAAATACCTAATGATTCTTAAGATCAACTAAAATGTACCTCAAAAACATGGTCCAAAGGGCAGAGAAAGGGTTGTCTAGTCATTGACCCCACCAGAGTTCCAGGATGTGGAAACCACAGCCTATCCAACCTGCACCATAGTGGAGGCATAACCTGTGTACAGTGAGAAGCAAAAAGATGATTAGATAACCTTGTAAAAATGCAAAACCCCAAGTTACATTGGAATGTATTAGAGAACTTTCACCAAACAATGAGAAACTACCTGCACAACAGATTTCATTGCTTCTTTGCTAAGAGGAATTTCTAAATTATAAACCATTTTCCTTAATTACTTTTGTTACCACTAGGCACAAGTAATTCAGGTTAAAACTCATACTAAGGGTGTAAGCAAGAATCTTTAGAAACCACTTTAATAATTTGGCTCAATTTCTATTGGACGAAAAACACTCTCAAAATCATAAAAGTAAACAGAGTCTTTAGACAATATCTGTAATCTTAGAGTTCTCACCAGTGTACGGTTCAAGACGGAAGCGATAGCAAGTGCTGACCTTATTTGTTTGATCTGAAGAAAATTATCAAAAAACAGAAATTATATGAATAACCACAGAGGACTTACACTGCAGAAGCTAGTTCTAAAGTAAATCATCCGTACTTGGTAATTAATAAGAGAGAAGTGTGATTCAAGATTATGCTCCCCATCCAGTAACAATCTCTTAGGAATAGAAGGTTTAAACGACAAGAATCCTCCTGCATAGTTCCTTCAATAAGTTAACGTAAAGGATAAATCATGATATAGACATCTTTAAAGAAAGAGTCAAGATCCAAATTCAATTGACTTGATCTTCATTGCTTGAAAAGTTGAACTCACTGTGGGCAATATAGCCCCATTTGTGTGAAATGGGATCAAAGATAGAAGTTAAAATGTGTTTATTCAGAATAAAACTCAAAATTCCACAGATAAACTTGGTGATAGTAGCAGAGAGCAGTTCAGAGATTAGTTTCTAGAACATATCCTTCTTTTCTTTGGCTACAAGAAACTAAAGCAGAAAAGATACAAAGGTCTTTTATGAGAAGGAATGGGTTGAATGTTTTACAGGGTGTTATCGACTCCAGCTATTGGTTCTGCAGGGGGATTATTATGTTGTTGGGATGACAATGTGTTTGAGATGGAAAGTCACAACATCAACAGAAGATTCATTGTTGTTGCAGGGAAATTCAGAATGAATCAATTCAGAAGTGTTCTTATAAATGTTTATGGGCCTTCAGTGGAGGAAGAAAAAGAAAGTTTTTTTGAAGAACTTAGTGTGTTCATTTCTGGACAGAATCTGTCGGTTTGTGTTGGAGGGGATTTTAATATACTTCTGTGAGGATGAGAAGGTGGGCAGAGCTCAGAACAGATTCTCAATGAGGATTTTCTCTCAGTTTATTCAGTCTTCAGGATTAATTAATATGCCTTTGAATGGAGGCAGGTTCACTTGGTAATAACCAAGATGATCCAACATTTGTTAGATTGGACAAGTTCTTGGTGGATGGTCAATTTTGGCTAATTTTCCTGAGTTAACTCAGTCACTTATTCCTAAATCTATTTCAGACTGCAATGCTATATTATTACAGGAAGGAGGAATTGATTGGGGAAAAAGCCTTTTAAAATTTTTAATTATCTGATGGAGGAAGATGGTTTGAGGAAATGGTCAGACTACTATCACAGACTGTAAGAAGCTTGGGAGAAAAGATGGAATCCTAAGTATTTTGAAGAACTCTAAAGCTGCCATCAAAAAATGGGCAGGGAAGAAAAACCAGTTTCTGGGAGCTGCAATTTCAGATTTAGAAAAGAAAATTCAAAAGCTAGAGGAGGATGCCTGCAGTTGAATGACAGTTCGGTTCAGGGGATTGCTGATGAGTTAAGTGTTTGTAGATCAGAGTTATGGAGACTTCATAGAATTGAGGAGCAGATTTGGTTCCAAAATTCTAGAAAGAAGTGGATTAATGATGGGGACCGAAACACAAGATTCTTCCATACTTGTGCTTCAGTTAGAAGAAAACGAAATGCGTTGAATGCTTTAATAGTTGATGGGAATATTACTCATGATCCAGCTGCTATTAAGGCCACTGTTAAAGATTTTTTTCAAAATTTCAATGATCGGTCTACTTTAGACGTTGAAGATATTGGTTTGATTTTTCCTAGAATTTCCATTGAGCAAATTATTCTTTTTTTATAGAAGTTGGAGGTCTCATTAAAAACTCCCTTCGTATTCGTTCACATACTAAAAGTATGTTAACGAACATTGGAAGGAAGAAAAGAGTACCTCAGATTTTATTAATATAATACCCGATACAAAGACACCACGGAATACCTCTCATGGTGAGGAACCATTACAACAAAAACCTTAACCTCATAAAACCTCATCCAAAGCCACAGTCAAATCACCTACTACTAATTACACCACCAACAGTAGTAATAAAACAACGCGACAGAACATAATACAAAATGAAAGCAACACCTACAACCATATAGACTAAAATAAAACCACAAATGAAGAGACGAGATCTAATGAGACTTGTATTCTTTAGGAGCCCAAGAGTTTGGTTTGAATGAAGGTTCTATCATGCACCATGACCTTGAAGAAATTGTCACCAACCTTCAATTCAACCATCGAATCAATTCTCGCATCAGCCTTTGTTAGGACTTGAATTTTAGCCGATCAAAGGATGGAGATTGACAACTTTCGTCGATAGCCAATAAAAGACCCCACTTATCAGCAATGTTCTTGAAAGTATTCCAATTCCATGCGTGAAAAGGAACACCCTCGCAAACTAGCCATACTCGAGGAGGAGGAGGTTTGGGAGACGCTTAAGTCTTGCAATAGTAATAAAGCTCTGGGGCCTGATGGATTGAACTTGGGATTTTTTAAAAGGTTTTGGTCTGTTCTTAAAGGAAACATCTGCAGTTTTTTCACTGATTCTATGAGGGGAAAGATTGGGAACATGGTATTAACCATACTTTTATCACCCTTATTCCTAAGGGTTCTAACATTGGGAGCCTTGATTATAGACCTATAAGCCTAGTAGAGTTTATAAGATATTATCCAAGTGTCTTTCCAGGAGGCTAAGAAGTTGTACAGGAGATATAATCAGCCCGACTCAATTTGCTTTTATACCCGGTCGACAAATTTTGGATTGCTCTCTCTCATTGCTAACAAGGGTATTGATTATTGGAGGAAGAAAGGGCTAAAGGTTGTGTCTTTATAGTTGATTTTAAAAAGGCTTATGATACGGTTGACTGGCCTATTTTGTTCAAGGTGATGGAAAAGATGGGTTTCGGTTCTGCTTGGATAAGCTGGATCAGGAGATGTGTTTCTACAGCTTCTATTTTAGTGTTAGTCAATGTGGTTCCATCCGAGGAGTTTCCAATGGCCAAGGGTCTTAGATAGGGATGTTCACTCTCACCTTTATTATTTAATCTAGTGGGGGAATTATTGAATTTATTAATCCAAAGGGTTGTTTCTGAAGAATTATTTTCTGGTATGATAGTTGGCAAGGAGAAAGGGTCCTTTAATCTTACACACTTGCAGTTTGCGGATGACCTAATTATTTTTTGTAGAGCTTCGAAGACGCAAATTATGAATGTGAAGAGGGTGCTTAGAGTATTTGAGGTTATGTCAGGGCTACAACTAAACCTCAAGAAAAGCATATTGTTCGGGATTAATATCTCCCAAGAGGAGGTTAAGACTTGGGCAAATTCCATTGGGTGTGCAGTGGTAACTTCCCCTCTAACTATCTAGGCCTCCCACTAAGTGCTACTAAGAATTCCTCAGTTATTTGGGAACCAGTGGTGCAGAATTTTCACACTAAATTAGCAGATTGGAAGGCTGCTACTCTGTCATTAGCAGGGAGATTGGTATTGATCAAATCGGTTCTATCCGCATTACCTACGTATTTTTTGTCCATGTTCAAGATTCCAGCTTCTATCCTTAAGTCTCTCAATTCAATTATGTCTAACATTTTATGGGGAGGGGGCAATGGTATAAAGAAGATTCACTGGGTTAAATGGATGATGTCTGCAGATCAAAGAATGAGGAGGCTTGGGAGTTCAGAATCTGATTGTATGAACAGAGCACTGCTAGGGAAGTGATCTTGGAGGTTTGCAAATGAAAGAAGTTCTGTTTGGAGGAAATTTATTAGTAAATACAACATTGACTCATCAAGGCTTCTGTTGATAGCAAGGTTTCACATCAATCTTCCTAATTATGGAGAACAGTGGTCGACAACCATTACAAACAAGACTCCTTTGGTTCCAAGTTTCACAGTTTCTGCAGTTTTCATGTTGGAAATGGTAAGCATGTACGATTTTGGCAAGACAGTTGGGCTAATGATTATCCGCTCCAGATTTGTTTCCTAGACTGTTTTTGCTTGCAACTAATAAATATGGTAAACTTTGTGAGTTTGGGGAATTTCTTTCATCGGGCTGGATTTGGGATGTTCAAGTAAGAAGAAATTTAAATGATTGGGAGCTTGAACAATGGTGTAATTTGGTGAGCATCATTTCTTCTATTCTCTGTCTAAAGATTCCACTGATGGGTTGATTGGAAAGGCAGTGGGGATGGTGTTTTACAGTCAGTTCATGTGTCAAGTTGTGCAGCAGGTTCAGAAGATGTTCATTTCTGGAATAATATTGTTTGGAGAGGTTTGGTTCCCCCTAGAGTTGAAACATTAGTGTGGCAAATATTGCTCTATAAATTAGCTGTTAAATCTGAATTGGTTAAAAGAGGTGTTCAAGGTATTGAGGATGATTTATGCCCTCTCTGTAGAAGGGTTGAAGAAACTTCCTCACACTTATTCTTTAATTGTTCGATTGCGTGGTCTTTGTGGAACAAATTTCTAAAATCCCTTGGTTACCTCCCCTTCGGATTTCATCAAATTGAATGTCGATGCAGCCACTACCAGTGATTGGAAGAAATCAGGTCTTGGAGGTCTTTTGAGGAATCATTTTGGTGCAATCCTAGGTTCTTTTCAGGAACCGGCTGGTGCAGGACCTCCGGCATTGAAGGAACTTAAAGCTATTCAAAGGGGTATTTCTTTCTTTGCCTCTTTTCAAGGGAGGTTTAAAGATAGGCTAATTGTTGAGAGTTATAGCAGAGTTGTTGTAAACTGGATCAACAATGTTGATTCATGTCCAGTTGTATGGTTTCATTGTTAGAGATATAGTTGATAGTCTTAGAATTTTGGGGGGGTTGTTACATGGGTTGCAAGGACAGCTAATAGGATGTTGATGCTTTAGCAAAGGCTGGTATAGGATGATTTTGATGTTGTTGGCATTTTCAGTTTGGCTTTCTGGTTCATGTTCGGATGGGTTTGTTCATTGTTGTAAGAGCTATTTGGAATAGATTTCCAAGGTTGTAATTATTATTTTCTATAATGAAATTATAAGGCACTCTTTTCCTCCTTCCGCTGATTAAGGAGCTTCTATTCAAACTCCATTAATCAAGAAGGAGGTTTTTAATGAGGCCTTCAAATCTTATCAAAAAAAAATCCTAACCAACACATGAAAATATGATAGGAGGTATATTAATATGAGAAAAGCATCCTATTTAGTTACAGGAATAGCTGTGGAATTATGTACTTCATGAGTTGTGGAGAATCAATATACACAAATCCTCTGTTCCATGAAGTTTTTTTTTTATAGGAATTGAAGGTCTCGTTAAAAACCCCCTTATTGATTGAAGGAGCTTGTATAGAAGCTCCTTAATCAGCGGAAGGAGGAAAAGAGTGCCTTAAGATTTCATTAACTAAAAGAAATTACATAAGATACAACCAGATAAACACCCCCATCATAACCAAAAAAACAAAAAAACAACTGAAGACAACCCTATACAACAGAACTAGCTCAGCCTAAACCATCTAAGCTACATGGACCATTTCCTTCGTCCTAAAATGCCTATGTTGCAAACGTTCGATGACTATAATCCATATGGGATAGATCCCTTCACCTTACATGATTGAAAAATTAGCATTTTCATATCAATTGATAAATAAACAGAATAGCAAGGTGCAAAAACTATCTTAAACTCTAATTATCTCAAGATATAGAGCAATACTGAGATAATAGGGATCCTAACATCAAATCTACAGAATAGCTGGCACAGAAATATCTGATGTTTTATATTTTCTAGAAAGCATATAATACTCATATAGCTACCAACATCATAGCTGGTACAAAATTACCAGGAGCATCATAGTATTCTGGTGGATCATAGAAAACCATGGATTCACGCAGTCGATGACGCTTCCCTTCAGTACCAGCATACTGGAATGTAGTGTGCACTGCATAAGGCTCCAGCCTAAATTGCTGATACATAGCCTGCCAATAGCATTAGGGCTTAAGACAAGCTTGGTGCAAAACAAACACAGCTGCTCATAAACAAATACAAGCAAGATAACTAAAGTTCAACAGGACATACTTGCAAAATATATAAGCAAAGAGACTAAATTTAATAGAAACAGTAAAATGAAAACGGGATGCGACTCTAACTAAATTGCTGAGAACTAGCATAAAGATCTTACCTGAACAAAATAAGTGTGTCCACTACAAAATATACTTTCTGGCAGAATTCCCAGCTTGAGATTCCCATCGTAAGCATAGAAAAGTCCACTCTCATCATCAACAGCTGGCCCTGTCTGCTTATGTACAAGGTCATTAAATCCATTCTGATCCCATATCTTATCATCAGCTAAAAGCATATCTTTCCACTCTTTCGCCAGTTTTATTGCAGGCTCAGTTGGACGCCAGTGGAAAATTCCTATATTGTAGGCAGCGCCAACTGTTTCATGAAAGGAAGGATTCAGTTTTAACCGAAGGAGTTACAATAACAGCCATAAATGGGTTAAAATAAGAAAGTGATAAATGTGAAAAATAGTTGTCTAACTATAGCACTGATAGAATGCACAAGTATGGTAGTATAAAAAAAAGAAGAGGGCAGGTCTACAATAAAAATACTACTGCAGGGACACAACTTGAGAAAAAGATAAGCAGATGAAAAGGAAATTCTTCTCGAAACATATGTTTACCAAGTTTCCAGTCAGCCAATCTATCGTCAACAACTGTTGGCACAACTTGGTCACTTGAAGTTAAGACGTCTGCGTCTGGGTACCGAGCAAGATATGGAAGTGGATCCTATTAAAGGAACATTAAATATGAAGTACGATTTTCACGTATATCTTCCGACTATAAAGGATCATGCCGCAACAATGAAATCACATTGAGTTTCCATTTTATAGAAAATGTATGTATATAAGGCAGTATTTTATTTTTGATTAGATATGTAAGGCAGTAAATTAAGCAAGCGTTACACAAGCTCATAAAAATACATAGATAATGAAAATAAAAAATTTTAAGGAGCACAACACCTAGGAACAACTAATATTATCACTAAAATTTTAGTTCTCGCAGAATCAAAGAAATCTATATTCTTCCACATGATGATAACAGTCCAACAAAATCTAAAGTATCTACTTTAGAGTGAAAAATGAAACAATCAAAATAATGGTAAGTATAATATAAACAATAAAGAAACACTTGAGCTCGAGGAGAACAGTCAAGTAACAAACATGGAATAGTAATAATGCTAAGTATCAAATAAAAAAAGAATAGTACCTTCAGCCACGCCATGTCTGTATCGCACATCAATAGCTCAACGCCAAAAGGAAGTATAGCATTTATAAGCAAGACTTTCTCTCTCCCCATTTTATGAAATGTAGGACTACCCCAGCCTACATCATCTGTGCTCATATGGCTGCCCATATCAAAGACTGGGATACCTTTCCAATACAAAGCCTTCAGTAGTTTGGTGTCCATAGTACCTAAATTATAACAATTCCAACTCATTGTCCAGTTTTAAGCACAATTTCTTGTTGTGTAACTGCTGGAAGATTTAAAAACTTACCAACAAGAAGATTAGAAACACCAAGATCCGTCAAGTGTTTAACCCAAGTCAGGATGAAATCCATAAAAGCAAAGTTACCAAAGGTGACTATGATGACATTATCTTTTGCCCTTTGTCTGACCAGTTCTTTAGTTAGTCTAAAGGACTTTAAACGAGGCATTTTCGAAGTACGTGGCGGGACCTCCCAAATAGGTCTTAACTTGTTGCTCTTAGACTGTGATGGTTGAGAAATGTTGCTGGAAAGAGAAATCACATCTGTTCGTATAGAATTGAGGATATCAGCCAAGATAAGAGAATCATGAAACGCTAAATGAGCTAAGGTGATGCAACCATCATCGTAAATAATATGTAACAGAGAAAGTCTTGTAAAATACAACCCAATTGGGTTCTGTTTTTATCTAATCCATTGCAAAGCTTCATTTTTTACAAGGACCCAGTAATGAATATGATGTTACTCAACTCTAATAACAACAAAAAAGAAACAATGACAGCTTAACTAGAGGAGAAAGGGAAAAAGTAACCTACTTTGGGAGAGAGGAGAGGTGGGAAGCCAAGAGGAAGAGATAGAGCGAGTGGTGGAATCGACTGGAGAGTAAATAGCGGAAAAAACGAAAAACGAAGACACCACTATCCCCACTAAAACGGCGGCGTATATGGTCAGAAAGAGGGGTTTGGACCCAACAGCTTCTTGAACAGCGTTCCTCCATCCTCCCATATTTGATCCTAATTGCTTAACCAATATCAAACGATTATCGTTTTTCTTGATCTCTTCGGCTTGGAACAGTTCAGAATGCGAATGCGATTTGATTTGTTTGTGAATAGTACATCAGTCTTCTGGGTATGTTTTTAAGAGAACTTTGGATCAAATTTCATTTAAATGCTACTAGATAGCAAGTAGAAGAAGAACTTGCCTGCCCCCGCAAGCCCAGCCTTGCCGCCGGGTTAACCATTTCTCCCTTTCATTTTAAGGGTAAACTACACAAATGGTCACTAATGTTTGAGTAAATGTTTTCCACTGAAGTTTCAAAAATAACAAATTAGTCATTAATATTATTAATTTATAATAAATCAATCACTAACATTATCAATTTGTAACAAATCAATCACTAACATTATTAATTTATAACAAATCAATCACTCGACCTTGACCTCTCTTAATGTAGGTGAAGAGAGGCTTACTTGGCATGTTAAGCCCTTACTTAGACTATTGACTACTATTTTGGAGTCCCCTATTAACTAATGCTTAAACTTTTGTTCCAAAAACATGAAACCATAAGCAAACTCACCGCCTTCCTCTTCCACCCCTCCCAACATCAAACATCAAACTCTTTGTTGTAGGTCCCTTTTTTTTTCTCTTTTTCTCACTTTTTTTATTGGATGTTTGGTTTTGAAGGATTATCATGGTCGGTTGATGAGAAATCCTTGAAAGACGTATCTTTTTTAGTGTATGATTTGTTAGTGATGATATGATAATGCTACATCAAAGTGCAAGCATACATTATTGTATTCAAGTAATAAAGTATAAGCTATAAAAACTTCACATGTTGTACCAAACATGTTACAAAAGAGTTATGTGGCAAGTGTCAAAAGATATTGGTTGAAATGTTGAAATAAACGATGAATAGAAAATAGGTGATTCAAAATGGTGAATGCCAGATAGTGCTACCATGTTCAGGAGAGTATCAGGTCAATGATTAAATGAGGTGATTCAAAATGGTGAATGTCAGATAGTGCTACCACATTCAGGAGAGTATCAAGTCAATGATTAAATGGATATTGATGCTCTATGATAGTTTTTACTATGATGATGTTTAGAACAATATATTCATATGTCACACAAAAGATTAACAATAGTTAATTAACAAGAATTAATCTTCACTAATTCAAATAACTAAACAATTAACAATTGTCATACCCTAATTTTGTTCGGGTATTTCAAATCGAATTGAAGGTGATCAAAAGTCAAATCGAAGATGTTCAAGTTAATCCCATTTGAAGTAAAGAGGCATTTTATAGAGGATCGTTTGGGAAATTTTGCATTTAGTTCAAGAAGTATTGAGAAATTAGGCAGTAAGGCCACATCTTCGTCTAATCGCGAAGTCGGGGTTGGTAATCACATAATTGCAATCTTGGAGTTTGATGATCATGTATTTGGAGCCAAAATGAAGTTTAAATTAAAACCTTTTTATCAAACCCAAAAAATAGTCAAGGTCCAAATGTCCATTTATATTTGGGTGTGGTATTTATAGGAAGGGGGAGACGAACTATCATAAATGTAGGAGGCGAACGGTTGGGGTATTGAATGATAGGCTCGGATCATGATCTGCGCTTTCTGTATGTGCCAGAAATACTGGAAATACGCGGATCGCCATCTGCGCCTTTCTTTACGTGGCGCCATCTCGAACAGAACACCTCAAAGGCGCGGATGACGATTCACATTTTATTACCATCGTGTCAGAAAGAGTGTTAGATCAATAATATTAGGGGTGAGGGTGCTGACAGTTAATTATTGGTGGTACATGTAATATTTTGGTAAAAACGTCTGTTCTACAAGCCCTGTCCGAAGTTGCAAGATTTCATCAGATCCATAAGTATTAAAACATATACGTAGAGTTTCGAAAGTCTTGTACAAATGATGAAACTTTTATAAGAGTATTTAGGCCTATAAATGAATCGAACGTTCAACGAATCGTTCGGCGAGAAGTTCATTTATATTTTTTATTTATTAAACAAGCAAACATGAATCAGATTTTATGTTCGTTTAGTTAAACGAACGAACACGAATAAAGGGATCGTTCGTTCATTTATGTTCGTTCGTTTATGTCTATTAATTTATATTCAGTCCAATCTCTAGATACGTTTAAAATATTAAAGCCTAATATTGAACTCATTAATATTTTAAAACCCAATTAGTTTTAAACCCAAATAAAAATACTCAAATAATTAAAGAAAAATAAATCCTAAAATTATTAGAAAGAAAAAAAAAAACCCTTATCAAATATAAACACAATTCATTTTATGTTCGTTCGTTTGTGTTTGTTTACATTTATTCATTTGTGTTCGTTTATCATTGTAATGAACGAACACTAACAAGCTAAAATGAACGAACACGAACAATAAATTTTATTCATTTAATTATTAGTATTCGTTCGTTTGTCCGATTAAAGTTAAATAAACGAACATGAACAATCCTCATTCATATTCGTTTAGTTCGTTTACAGTCCCGTGCCTAAGTGTACACTCTCTAAACTGAAAAACATTGTATGAGTCATGAAACTCTTATAAGGAAATAATCGAAATTCCACCGAAAAGTTTTAAAATTTTGTTTCATGAGTTTACAAATTAAATTACTTTTTTCTTTTTAAAAATATTTTAACTGAGGTAAATAAATCAAAATACGTGAAACTTATTTTTAATTCTTTTAAAAAAATAATTCAAGAATAATTGTTCATAATTTTTGTAAAATTAATTCTTAATTAATATCAAAACTACTTACAAATCTAGTAATTTGTATATAATTGTCAAATAATCGTCTTATTAATTTCATAATTAGTATATAATTGTAATAAAATTATTTAATATAATTTTTTATAGACTTAGTAATATAATAAAACATTATCGTCTATCCGATTTTATTAGACTCCTAAGTACTTGAAGTATTAATTAGTTATTAATTTCATTTACTTCTACCGCATGTAGTGGCAGGCTGGGTTGAGCTGTAACGGTTAATCCGCCTAACCCCAACCCCAACCCCTTGTACAGATTTATACAAAGGGGTCTCAATTTTTCAATAATAATAATAATAATATTTAAGTAGTGATTTGACCATTTAATCATGTATATATATACACTTAACCATTTAATATTTATTTATATCTACTCCTAACATAACACTTTAATTTTTATTAACTTAACCATTTAATTATACTTTATCTAATAATAGAATACAATTTTTATTATCAATTTGATATCGTAAATATTTTATTATCATATTCATCATTAGTGTTACAAACAGGTTCGTCCCAAAAGAAAGGGAGATTATGTATTACTTTTTAAAATAATGTCCTTAAAATATTTTATAATAAGATGAAATTGTCAAATATTAAAATCTATTAGATTACGACTGTTTCTTACAAAATAAAAAAAATAAACATATGAAAATAAGTTTTTTTCATTGAATTTTCTTCACACGCGTATGGTAAGAAAAATAACTTTTTTAGGTTAATCAATTTTTTTAAAGTCTTAAGCGCTCAAATTTTAAAACCTTATAACATATCATAAGTTACACTTGCTCGTGGACGACTCTAGTTACAAATGAGTGATATAAATTGATTTATCAATAAATGAACGACACATGACACATAATTTAAATAAAGATTTACAAATATATTTTTCAGTACATATTTTTCATATCACTTTTTTTAACTGATGAATCAATAAATGAGTGGAATAGTCCTTCATTAATATTTTAATGAAATAATATTAGAAAAACTCTTCATGGTTGATTGAATAGTAACTTTGGCTTTTATTCATTTTTAGGTAATTTAATCTTCAATATTTCATTTTATGTCAAAATGGTCCCTCCATATACGAAAACGATTAGTAAACAAATGATTAAGATTTTTTCGATGAAGCTAAGATGATTACAAAATAATATATGTTATAAATGTTATAAACAATTAAAATTAAAATTTTAAAACGACATAATAATACCACATGTATATAGACATTGACATGATAATATCATGTGTACATAAACATTGAGATGATAGTATCATATGTATATAGGCATTGGCAATATCACATATACAACATAATAATGTCACATGTACATACATAGGCGGAATTAGGAATTTATTATAACGGGGCTAAAATATTTTTTTATTTTTCATAAATAATTTTTTAATTGAAGAGGGCCGATGAATTTTTCTTTATTTTTTTCTAAAAATTATATATATATATATATATATATTAAATAATACTTTAAAAAATAATTTGCGCCAGGGCTTGCTTGACCCCCTTATGTTCTTCCCATGTGTACATAGACAATAAGATGATGGTGTATATGTATATAGGCATTGATGTGGCATAATGGCATGCGTGTCAACCAAAATTTTTAATTTTTTAAAATAATTTTATATAATAATTTTAATAATTAATTAAAATCAATCAGATAATAATATGTGGTAATATTGATTTAAATTAAAATCAATTACATTCATCCCCAACTTGTCAAATTTGGGCTCAGTAAATTGGGCTATACATGCCCAACCTATATTAACGTCAAATTCGGTTCTCTTCAGACCACTCTGCTCCTAGGTATTAATCTGATTAGTAGGGCAAAAGGTAATATTGAAGTCGTTAACCGAGTTTGTAGTTTTTTTTATCATAATAAAATTTTGAATATTATTAAATCTTAATATAATAATAAAAATTAGTAAAATGATACATATTTTTTTATGTAAATTAAAGTTGTTGGTTTTATTTAAAAACAAAATATCTAAAATTACAATATTTTTTTATAACCCATGAACATAAATTAAACACAATCATAAGTTAAATTTTACATTGCATCTATGATTGATGTTTTGTAACCCCCAGACCGATGCGAGTAATCCGATTCGATCCGGGAAGTCACATTAGGGCAACTGGAGCGACCCACTGTAAAAATAGTGGAAAATTTAAAACTTTTAACAAAACATGTAACTTATAAAATGATTTATCAGTATGTATAAATAAAACAGATTTTTTGACTCGTATATAAAACAAAATACAATTACATGCCCCCTAATCACATGCACCGTACTCTGCAAACAACGCCGGAAAAACTCCCTTACTGATGTCGATAGCT